ATTTCATCAAAGGATTCCACTTTGAGATATTTCAAAGAAGTGAAGTGTTGAATTTGTTCGGGCAGAGACTTGAGCTTAGGCCAACCCCATAACATTAATCTTTTAAGTTCTGATGTAACCTGAAAAGCAGGGAATAAATCCAGCTCCTTCCAAAAGCCACCGATTTCCAATGTCTTCAAGTGTGAGGATGTTATTGTTAACCCACTGGGTAGACTTTTCAATCCATCGCAACAAAATATCCCCAATTCATGGAGGTTTGTGAGGTTGTCTAAACTTGAAATAGATTCTACATTCGGCAACTTGCTTATTGTCAACACCTCAAGAGAAGAACATGATTCTAGCCCTGTTGGCAGACTTGTCAATCCATCGGAATCTTTGATTCTCAATTCACGAAGGCATGTGAAGCCGAGTAAACTTGGAACAAACTCTGGACTCCTGCTGCACCCAAATATAGACAAAATGCGAAGGGATGAGCAGTTGTGAATCAAAGCGGATGTTAGCATATCACAATTTGATATTGCCAAGTCCTGAAGAGAGGTATAATAATCTAACCCACTCGGTAGACTTGACAACTCCGGACAACCTGTTAATTCTAATTTACAGAGCGATGGGAGGGCCTGTGTAACTGGAATCAACTCTAGACTATTACAATCTTGTACAATCAGGTTCTTAAGAGATGTTGTGAGTAGCCCATCAGGCAAATAAGCAAGAATAGGACACTTGGAAATATGCACTGACTCAAGAAATGCGCAAGAGCCAACTATATCAGGAGGAGCAATACAAGTTAGCTCCTGACAATCTTTTATCTCCAAGTATGCAAGATTCTTGTTGTCTTTTAGCATCCCTTCGGGCAAAGAAGCAAGTCCCCTTATGCTCTTTATTGTGAGCGAAGTAAGAGTGGTCAGCTTATTGCTTATGTTTGTTATTGGCTTGCCGCTACCCATGGAATCTATCACCAACTTCTTGAGAGATGGGAAATGGCTGGGAGCACTTCTCAATTTATCACAATTCAACAAACATAGCTTCTCGAGGCAAGGAAACACCAGTATCCCATTTTCCGGCCATTCAGTTAGGTTCCTGGCTTCAGAAATAGTTAAACTTTTCAATGCAAGAAACGAACAACTCATGATCCATGATGGACATTTATCCCCCATGAAGTTCGAAAATCGTAAAAATTCCAGTTTACTAGGGTGTGGTTGAAGGCCTTCTAGTACCTCTTCATCATTGGTGATGCTTGACCTTTCCTCCGCCCATTCAAAGTCTAATTGGCGTATGTTTGTCTTCTCCAATAATTTTGCTTTCTTAGCTTCTTCTCTATCTCTCAGGTGCTCTAGATTATAGATAGATAATCTTCCTTTTAACCGGTTTAAGCCAGCCAACTCCTCTATCCCACGGCCTGCCTCCTTACCCACCATGAAAAAATTTAATGTTTGGAGATTAGTCAATCGCCCCACCCCTGCTGGAAATTTCATACAATCCCAATCAAGGTAAATATGTCTCAAGTTTATCAAATTTTGCAGTTCCTTTGGATACTCTTTAAGTCGGAAACAGTACATTCTTAGTGTTTGTAGACTATAAAGCTTTCCAATGGATTTGGGGAGTGCTTTGATCTTTGTAAAGGAAACATCCAAATACCTCAAATGTTTCAACTTTCCAATTGAAATTGGCAACTCCTCAATATCAGCTTTATATAAATTTAAGACACGCAAACCTCTAAAGTTCGGTAAGATATCACCAAGACCTTCAATATTCAAGAAAAGTGAGCGCAATTTATGAGCACTTCTTTCTGGAACTCCTTGTAGCACCGAGGTAGGAATATGTGTCATATGTCGAGTCTCATTGGAGTCATTGCTCTTCGGTTTTGACACATGTTCTGCGAGATCATGCACAAGGTCGTGCATTTTGCAACTTGTAATACTACCATCATCATCCTTTATAACATCTTGAAAGAAGGAGTTGTTCAATAGAATATTAAAATACTCATTTCCTATATCCTCCATCTCTAGATTACGTCTGTTGGGAGGAGAAGGGTAAAGCAATCCTTGAGCCATCCAAAGTTGGATCAAGTCATCCTTTTCAATTTTGAAATCCTTGGCAAACATTGAGCAATATGCAAAACATTGCTTCAAAGATGGTGGTTTCAATTCATCAAAACTCAACTTCAAAACCGACAAGATTCTTTTTTCTCCATCTGGTAAATCCCATATTCTACTTTCGATAATTGAACGCCATCCATCAGTATCTTTGGAACGCATCAAATTTCCCAAAACCTAGTGTACATGAGAGTTTGAATTTGTATTAAATGATAATAAGGTAAATTAACAAGAATAACAATATAAAACGGAAGAAGTTATTGGCACTCCAAAAAAGTCATCATGCACCCCTCACTTAAAATATTATCATCATATGTAATCATTAATCCTCTTATTAGGTAAGTTTAGTACGCAATTAATATTAAGCTGCCATAAAACTTCAATATATTTGTTCCATATGCAAAAGAAAAAATATATATACATAAATCATTAAATTTCACTTAAAACCCCTGAAGTTTAGCATAATTACAACCAGAGCCAAATGTTCCATTTCTTACAATCACGCTCCCTAAATCTAACGGCAGTTGAGTCAACTTAACAGTTGAGAATAGGACTCAGGACTCTCTTTCTTAGGTTTAGGGATAGCGAACAAAAATTGAGGGGTAGAACTGACATTTCGTTAGTCAAACCTAATTTTCTATTTTAAAAAAACTAAAAGATGAGGTGTAAGTGGAATAAACAAGACCTTTGAGTCTGAGATTCTCCAATGGATATATTTCAATAGATATTTCTCGAAGCTTTTGCCATTTTTAAATCAAAACTACCAATATAAACATATTTTAATCCTTGCTAGTAAGTGGCATTATGTTGGCCTTCTTATGTATGTGCTAGAATGAACTATAAAATAGAAAGATGGGAAGAACACTATCAATTTCTTGTGGGTTAGAGGTTTATAAATGAAGAACAAATGAGAACAAGAAGAATGCATGCAAAAAGTACTTCAACACATACCTTTGCCACTAATGGTACACCTGCACACTTTTTGGCAATCTCCCTTCCAATTCTCTCTTGATCTTCACTCAAAACAGCACTCGCATCTGGAAACGCTTTATACTTCAATATGGCCCAACATTGATCTTCCGATAGTTTTCCCAGATCACATGTAGGAAGTGTTTGCACAATTGATGAAACACTCACATTGCGGGTAGTGACAAGGATTTTGCTTGCTTTAGTGCTTGTAGCATTCAACAAGCAACTCATCAAATCGTCCCATTTGTTAGGATCTTCGTTCCAAACATCGTCAAGCACGAGAAGATATGTCTTCCCTTTCAAATCTTCTTGCAGCTTTTCACATATTGCTGCTTTACGCTTTATTTCACCTTTTTCTGGTTTAAGATATTCCAAGATCGCGCTTAAGATCGTCTTGACTTCAAAAGGAGTAGATACACATACCCATATTTTTTGATCGAAGTGTCTACCTATCTCAGGATTATTATATACGGATTTAGCCAAAGTTGTCTTCCCCAAGCCTCCTATGCCCACGATGGCCATAACAGAAAGACAATTCTCTTGGTTCTTACCAGAGTTGATCAAGGTTGTAACTATCTCCGACGCAACCTCCTCCCTTCCAACAATGTACTTTTCATCTTGATCAAAGTTTGAGACCGTTTCCCTATCAAGACCTCCAATATCATGAGAGGATGCATTGACGAACGTCGATCTAGCAAGAACCAGCCCAATACTAGCTGCCTCATTGTTCAGTTTTGCCAAAGATGCATTAATGTTCTGAATTTTATGTGCCATTTTGAGACGAAATGCGATGGGATTATGGCGTGAAAAGAAGTTGAGCCCCTTTTTTTTAATCTGGTTTTGGATCTCCACTTTCCGCCGGAGAAGTTCATATTCATATTCATCCAACACATCATCAGCTTCATGAGCTATGTCTTCAAGATCCTTCACCCACATCTCCACCCTCTCACCCCGAACTTGTGGATTTTGAACATCTCGCAGCATAGCTTGAAGCTTCGATAACGAGCCTCGCAGACTTGTTAGCTCTCCTTTGAATCCCCAGAGAAGACTGAGTTCTTGCTCAGCAAGTGAAGCCACCCTCGTCAGAATTCCCTCAGCACCAAAAGTAAGAAACTCTGCAGCCATATTTTCCTTCAGTGTTGCTCAAGACAGAGAACAGAATGATTAGTTTGGGTTGGAAAACTAGAGCAAAATTGAGGACGCAATGTATGTTTGAGAAGGTTGTGAGGAATTTATACAATAATGTCATATGGCTGGCGTCAAAAGCTATAATAATTTAGGAGAGCACCAAGTGCTGTCGGTTGGACTATCTGGAATTGTGTGGAATTATTGCATGTAATAATTGTGTCCGGAATACTTTTTTTTTAAAAAAAAAATTGTGTATGGAATAATTGTGGATAGCTTGTGTATAGATATCCCATGTGCTTAGATTCTGGATAAGGTTGTGGACGGGCTTAAAATGAAAGGATGATATAGTTGTTTTGTCCATTTGTGATTTAACAAATTTTCGTATTGCTTAAACAGACATCATCCCCCAACACCATCCACAAAGAAAAAGGGATGTTTTAGTCAGACCGAACTTTTCCTAAAGTTGAGAAGAGCACATTTCAATTTTAGATGCAGTTTGCAAATGCTGACAACAGTTTAAACACAGAAAGCTTTAACATAAAGGTCTACATTTTGTTAATCGCCTACACTCATTTTGGCCAAGGAACATTGAAATCACTCATTTTTCAACTACACGTCAATCGATGTCTAGAGAAGGAAAAACTAACAGAATGACGAAATTGGCACGCGCTAGTCGTTTTGTATTAAAAAAATTTAAAAAAAACAAAATACATTAACTAAATTGATCTTAATTATTATCAAATTCCTAAATTTTACAAGAAACTTACATTGTGAATTTAAGGAAAAACTAACAGAATGACGAAATTGGAACGCAAGTCGTTTTGTATTAAAAAAAAAATTAAAATTAAAACAAAATACATGAACTAAATCAACTGTTCATCACGAGAATCTTAATTATTATCAAATTCCCGAATTTTACAGGAAACATGCATTGTGAATTTACTTTAACCACCAGGACCTGCAACTAAATGTAATCCCATCCCACCTTGCTGCCTGCCAATTCCAAACAATCAATTTCACATCTGTAAAATTATCTCGTTATGGCCCTCCATGTACAACTAATTAAGTGTATTATCTCAAAATTTACAACGAACAAAGAATAGGATAACAAATGCCACTGGGGGTGTCCAAATGACTGAGCAGTACAGGAACAGAAATAGAAAAGCTTACATGTGATTGCCACTACTGGCATTCCAGCTGCTACTCCAGCTTTCACCCCTGAAACAGAATCCTTAACAACCAAAAACAGAACACAGATGACTGCAAGGCATATAAAAAATTTACTGGAGAATGCTGTTGTTAGTATTGCAAAGCACACAGTTCGGAGAGCCGAACCTCAAATGCGGACGGGTCAGGAAATGGTTTCGCTCGATCACATTCATCTCCAACAACAACAAATCCAAAGAAATTCGGGAGCTCCACCATTTGGTCTTGGAGCATTTGTCTCTGCAGTCTGTATCCATTGGCGCAACTTGTGGAGGCCCTTAAACAGGTTCTAATTGTTCAGATGCCAATCTGGTCTCAATGGACAAGAGAAAATGAAACAGAAGAAGCATTTTTTTCTTTCAGAAAAGTACTGGAACATTTTGAGTATATAATCGAAAAGCATTTTTTTTTTCCAAAAACTGACAAGAAAAGACGGCACCTTATTATTAATACCACAACATTATGTCCAAATCAATGGGGTGTGTGATTAATCTAAAACGTCACAAATTTTGTCTCGCTTAAAACAAAATAAAAAAGCTTCTGATTTTGTTGCATAGTAGTTTACTTGATTTGCACATTCTTTTTTTTTTTTGGTCAATAAGAACTTTCATTAACAAGAGAGCAACCCAACAGATTACAACTCAAAGAGAGGAAAGCAAAGCCATGCGACAGAAACAGAAGTGCATGCACAGCAAAAATTCAATAGACCCATACAAGCTGCTACAAGAAAGAGCCCCACAGTGTGGGAGTGGTTCGACAATCCAGAAATAGAGAGTCTTGGCCATCTTGAACAGCACAAGTTATGTGGAGGCTGAAGGAGGGCAGGGAAGGCCGTCACGGTTTAAGATATGCACAAGAGAGGTGGGGGGCCTGGATACCCAGACTTCCGGACTCGACCTCGATAGTGCCAGCGACGCAAGGTGATCTGCCGCTTCATTGTTTTTTCTACTGGTCCAAACCCAATTACAGTTTGAGAAATTGGAGTTGCATTCACGGATCCTTGATAGAAGTGGATAGAGGTTCCATCTTCCACGCTTTATGTTTCCTTTCACGCTCTCGATCAGTTCTTTGGAGTCAGATTCAAAGCAAACCTCTGATAAGCCCAGCTCATATGCCCATTTGCAACCCTCAAAACCAGCAATTGCCTCAGCCATGATCGCAGAATCCGCATGGAAAGATAGGCATTTCGCTCCCCTGAACTCACCATTGGCATTTCGTGCAATAAGACCAGCTCCTGCTTTGCCAGAGGATGCCGACCAAGCAGCATCAAAGTTAACTTTAATAACATGGGCTTCCGGTGCAGTCCAAGAGGTAGGACTTGGAGGGGGTCCGTCGCAAGACCTCCTCACGATCTTTCTGCTATTCAACACGGCCAGCTCCTCCACTTGTGAAAGAATGGTTTTGATGGCCAAAAGAGGTTGTGGTTTACATAGATCAAACACAAAACGATTCCTTGTTTTCCAAATAATCCAGCATGTAACAGCAATAATGCATGATATGCGCCCTATTTCCTCCTTAGTTTGGAGCCCATCCGTGGTACATTTCAGCAACCATTGGTCAAAGGTGGTAATTCCCTGTTTGTCAATTTTATAATTAAGAGGGCCACCAAACCAAATCAATTCTACCCACGGGCAAAAGAGAAGCAAGTGTTCAATAGATTCCTCATGAGCTTGGCATATGGGACATAATGGGGTTCGAGCAATTTTGCGTTTGTAGAGAGCCATTGCCGTAGGCAGTCTACCATGAGTCGCACGCCATAGAAAGTTTTTTATCTTTGGCGGAACCTCAGCTTTCCAAATATTTTTCCATACCAAGGGGTCTATCCGTGATGATGTGGAGGCGTTTCTGGCAGTGGTCTCAACCTGCAGGGCATGGATGCAATGGTACCCGGACCGAACTGAAAATTTGCCATTCTTTTCCCCAGGCCAAACTAATCTGTCGTCCTCCCTTCCATTCCCTATAGGGATAAGCTGGATAGCAAGCTTCTCCTCGTTAGTAATTGAAGCTTCAATCGGGGTTAGGTTCCAAGTTTTGGAATCCCAATCAATTAAAGTTTCCACCCTAGTGTTAGGATCGACCGAGGCCTGTAAGTTGGGGTGGAGTTTACCGTCATGAAGGGAGGGAATCCAACAGTCCGTCCAAAGCTTTGCTTGTCTACCATTTAGAATTTGCCACCGAGCTCCCTGAAGAATGATCTTTCTTCCTTCAAGCAAGCTTGCCCAAGCCCAAGAAGCTCGTCCACCTTTCTTTGCCTCCAAAAAACTGCATTCCGGGAAATAACGAGCCTTCAAGAGTTGAGCCCATTGGGAGTTTGGTTCCATGATTAATCTCCAACATTGCTTGGCTAGCAAGGCCAAATTGAAATCATTAAAATCTCTGAATCCCATGCCTCCCTGTTTCTTTGGAAGCCCCAAAGTAGCCCAACTGATCCAATGCACTTTTGTCTCATCTTGTTTTTGACCCCACCAGAACTTTGCAATCTCGTGCTCCAGCTTTTGACAGAAAGATTTGGGAAACTTAAAAATTCCCATGGGGTAAGTTGGAACTGCCTGTGCGACTGATTTGATTAGAATGTCCCTTCCGGCTTGTGATAATAAACCTTGCTTCCATCCTCCAATCTTTTGCAGCAACCTTTCCTTCACAAAGTTTAGAGCCTCACTCTTTGACCTGCCCCAAAGAGTAGGCAAGCCCAAGTATTTCCCAGTATCCATAACAGTTGGCATACCTAGGATAGATTCCAGCTCTCTTTTTAAATCGTCAGGAGTGTTGGGGCTAAAGAAAACACAAGATTTTCCCAAATTGATCTGTTGTCCTGAGGCTCTGCAGTACCCATTTAGAAGATTCATCATATTGCGACAATTTTGAGCATTTGCCTTGAGAAAGAATAAGGCATCATCCGCGAAGAGAAGATGAGAAAGGATCGGGCCATTCCTGCAAAAAGAGAGACCCTGCAATAGCTGCGTATCACATGCTTTTTTTATTAAGGAAGATAGGGCCTCACTTACAAATAGGAACAAATAAGGGGAAAGGGGGTCGCCTTGACGGATCCCGCGGGTTGGCTTGAAATAGCTTCCTGGCTTGCCATTAATAACCAACGCTAACTCCACAGATTTAACCAAGCTCATGGTCAGCCGCACCCACTTCTCATCGAAGCCCAACTTCCTTATCATGGCCTCCAAAAAATTCCATTCGACTCTGTCATATGCTTTATTCATATCCAATTTCATGCCCAATTCAAATGACTTGGTGGATTTTCTAAGCTTCAAAAGATGGAAAGCCTCATGAGCAAGAAGGATATTGTCTTGTATTTGTCGGTTTGGGACAAATGCATTTTGAGCAGGGGAAATAATCTCAGGTAGAAACTGTTTCAATCTGTTGGCCATAACCTTAGAGATAATTTTGTAGGAATAGTTACATAGGCTAATTGGGCGATAATGAGTAACAGACTCAGGATTTGGGACTTTGGGGATTAATACAATGTTGGTGCTGTTTAGGATAGTGGGATTACAGCTTTCAGCAAAGAAATCCTTCACAAAGCCTTGAACCTCCCTATGGATTATGTCCCAATAATGATGGTAGAAAATCCCTTGATATCCGTCTGGCCCCGAGGCCTTAAGAGATCCCATTTGCATTGTCCCTCCATTTGGGCCATTAATCATTTGTTTGGGGCACTCTCCAAGATGAATCAGTGTTCCGCTGTAGTTTCTATGTATAAACAGATGCTGGGAAGTCAGTACACTGAGTATTGTTATCAATTGCTTGTGACCTATGAATCGGGTGGACCTGGGTTTCTCTGTTTTAGCAAATACCCTTAAACATGGTCTTCAGCCCAATGCTTATACTTTGACTGCTTTGCTTCATGGAGTTTGCAAGTATAGGTCGATCTCTAAGGCAATGCAGTTCCCGAAAATATAGGAGAAAGGATTAGCATGCAGTGAAGTCACTTACGCTCGTATAATTAATTTGTTATGCCCGAGCTGGGAAAACATGTATTGCATTCATGGAGTTTGCAAATATAGGTCAACCTCTTAGACGTTGAATCCTGCAAGGAAAATTTCTGGATCCATCCCTGTCTAGACATTTCATACTGTATTCATTGAATCATTTCACAGATTGAAGCAGTACCAAATTTCAAATGATAAGCTCGGGAGCTTTGCAAGTCAGTGCTAGTTTTAACAGTAAGGGTTGTAAGATTCTTGCTGAGGTGGGCCGCGGAGCAGTGCTTCTGTTGTGTTGAAAGAGCTGTGGTGCAACACCTATTTTTTTGGTGAAAACCAAGGTATCCCCCGCGCGATTGCGGGGACTAACCTCGAGGTACTGTCGGGCGCAAAGCGGGGACCTCTCCCAACAAAGTCTGCTCTATTCGCAAGCGCCTGGGATCGAACCCAGGACCTCTTGTTTAAAGGAGCAACACCTATTCATTGTATCAAGAACTCGTCTTCAGTGATATAGCATTTATTGAGTAACTTGATAGCCTAAAATTGCAACGGTTTAAAGCCTAATAATTTCCTACTTGATATTATTGTTCTACGTATAATGTAATCTTTTAAGTGCAAAGGATTGGGGGAGGGAGGGTTTACACAAATATTCACGTGGTGTCTGGTGATTTCGAACCTCTGCTCATAGGAGTGGAGATAAAAGGGCTTAACCAACTGAGCTATACCCTACTGGCCAAGAGCACCCACTTTGTCATTCCTCACATATAAAAACCTAACTGGAGAATTTTATTACCACCCCCAATCCATTGAAGGCACTTATCTTTCTAAGAACATCCCTTACAGACTTTTAACTGTATGTATTAAGTGAAACCACCCGCTCAACTTACCTTCATCAGAGTGACTAAGCTCATCTCTGTCCAATTCAAACGTACAACATCTAATTATTTCAAATACATTCAATCTAATGCGGCTCTTGTCCCAAGTTGCATTGTGGAAGGTCAGAGCAGAATCATTCTGCAACCACCTTGCTTTCTGTTTCGATGCATTGTTTAGGCTCTGCTTGGTTTCATTTTCAAAGTCACTTTCTGTTGTTTATAGAATTCTAGCTTAATTTCCCATGCTTTTGAGTTTACTCACAGTTAAATTTTAACCAAGTTTTGATTCTGATTGAAGTTAACTTGTCACAAGGCATTATTCAAGGATCCTTAACACTAATGTCGAACTGACAACATTCACATACAAAAAATTCCACATGATTAAACCTCACTCTCAAAGCAAAACAAAACATAACAAAGCAAATTTTAACACTCAAGATGATCAACTGCATAACCCATTAGACCTTGTTACCATAACATATGAAGAACTAGTGTGGAAAGACCTCATAGCTCCGCTGTGGTACCTTTCTGATGATGGCCCTCATGAGATCAAAGTAAAGGGGCAGCTGTGCAAGAGCGAAAAAGGTGACCGGCAAGCAAGTTGCTGCATACAATGGATATGCCACATATCTCAGTTGATGTTTGAGGACAAAGATATGCCCTGTGCAGAATGAGACTAACATGGAAGCTATAGATGCGAAGAGTGATGTTAGACCCAGCAAAAGTTTCCGAGGCAAGTCCATTGAAAAATCGCTTTCTTCATATCTAGAAGTGAGAATTGAAAGAAAGAAGACCAGGGAAGTTACTGAGAAGCAGAGAGCAGTCAGTGATGAGATGGTGAAGGCACCGAATGCTGACTCGTCCTTAAGAATTGGTTCACCTGTATTCTGATTAAGTCCACCTGGTACAGTTGCTGATGTTGCAAATGCAACCGTTGCAATGAGAGCTGCAACCACAGAGCACGACTCCGAGGTTTTAGTTAGCCATTTGCTGCCTTCTTTTATAAGATTTCGGTGTGTATTTATGAAGATCTCCTTTGGGGTCTGGCCTTTTTTGTTGTAGCGAACAAAGAAACCATGTGGCATTGAGCTTTTGACAAACTGCGCATCCAGTCAACATAACAGTAACTCTTGAAGATTATGTTCACACTTCAAAACCTTGATTTCAAAGTTTAACTCAAAAAGATAAATAAAAGGCCAGTAATGGTAAAGCCAGAGGTTTGTAAGCTGAAGACTAACATGAATAGTGCAGCTGAAACTGATGTAGTGTGAGATCAACAATAGTTCATACCTTATACCACTTGATTTCCCATTGCATTTGCAATGCAGCGCCTGGAATAAGCCAAGGCCGGTACTGTCCACATCTAGCGGCAAGATGTAAAGCGCTGTTACCTTGGTTGTCCAACTGACGCAACAAGCTTTCTTTTAGTATCTTTCTCTTCCGCAGGAGATTGTAAACATGGGGTTGCCTGTTCTCAACTGCTAACAGTACAACATTCTTGTTATCAGAGTCCACATCCTGGATGGCCACTGGGAACTTGTCTAGGATTGTTTCTACCATTTCTGTCACTCCCATCTTTGCTGCAATTAATATTGGTGTCTGCTTTTTATCTGCTTCACAATTTCCATTCTTCTTATCTCCCAAGGGTTTGTTTTCCTTCCTCTCTTTACCGTTGTTGAGTCCAAGTTCGTAATCATGTGCTGTAGGTTTTCGAAGCCATGTTTGAAGGTGAAAAACTTGTAAAAGATAACACAATATTTCATAGTTATTTTTATACTAATTAGCCATCCCAGTTGCCTACAAGTAGGCTACTGTCCATCTCCAATAAATTTCTGTTCTGTTTTTCAATACAGCACAAACTTCTCGGTTAAAATAAATGACTTCAATGGTATTTAGGAATACCTGATTTCTTCCCTTTAACCTTCCCACGTTTGTTAATGTCAATGAAGCATGCAGTACACAGAAGATGAGTAACTACCAGGCCAAAATAAAAGAGAGGTGTAATTTGTTTACCTGGTTGATTCTGATCACTCTCTATCTGATACTTGTTTTGGTTTGAGGACGACAGTTTTGTTTCAACATTTTTATTTCCACCTTTAGATGGTACATGATCGACTGCTGAAGACGGGGCTTGGTCTAACAAGATAGGATTAGGAACATCACATTCTTCTTTATCTTTGTTTGGTTGATGGGGATTTCGTCCAGTATTTTGGTACTTGTATAAGGAAGTACGCTGAACCAGTTCATTCATGACCTGATTAGCCCATATATGTCGCTCTTTCCTTTCTTGGATTTTCTTTATCTTCCAAATGCCTACATGTCATTCAACAAAAGAACATTAGGAGATGAGGCAACTGTCGTCCATGAGATTTAAATTTTTTCGCTTAGAAGGGTTCTTGGATGGGGAAGTGATGTGGTTTTAAACAAGCTTGCGTGTCTAGCTAGATGACGCAAGCTGTACTAGTTATTGATCAGGGGCTATGAATTAAGTTTGGTACTGACCAATTCCCAGAATAATTAGCATGGCCTTCATCATAAGCTTGAAGAATAGAACTAGTGAGGCGTAATTGGGCGGATACGAATAATTTCTTCTCCCCTGTTCATGTGGTTGGTTTGTACCTGCAAAGAGGCAGAAAAAATAATGCTAAAGTCAAGTCTACTCAGAACAATTGAGATGCCTAAAATGTCATCAGATGATGAAATTAAAAAATTGAACAGTAATCCCCTATATTCATAACTCTAGAAGTTCAGAACTTGCAAGACCTTTTTTTCTTGATTTATTGTCCTAGAAGAAAATGTCATGGAGTTATGAAGCAACAAATTCTTAGAACATATTGAATACCTCAACAAGTTAACAGTGACCATCTTTCTTCATTAAGGAATATTTTTTTCTACCCAAAATAATACAATTTCAGAGAATAATTCACCATAATGTTTAGAAATAAAAAAATTTATATGGCACCTTTTGATTCCGACTTCTTCACTGACGAAGATAATCCTGAAATGCCTCCTGCTGCAGTAGCTCCAATCAGAAATATATCACATTTGACTTGAGTTTTAAATCCGAACAAACAGGTCTTTTACATTTAGTAAGGTTAATGTTAGTCTTTGTCATGAAGGTTATTTATCTATCTTCTTTTTCTTTTCTTTTTTTGACTTCTTTTAATTGTAGGGAATTTTACCATCAGTTGATCTTGAACTCTTTGCATCTGATACTTCTTTTGATTGTAATCTCATTGCAGAAGAGGATGCTTCTGGACTGGCCTCTGCATAGTTGGGCTATTTAATCAACTGAATCTTTAACTTATCATCTTCAAACTTCAACTATAATGTACAAACTGTTCAACTTCATCATCAGGTTGGTTTTTCTTTCTTTCATGATAAAAATTAATTTACTTATTTTTTCATAGGGAACGTCGCCAAGGCAAGACTCAGTGATTAATTTATCACCTGCAGAAAAAATTGTGTCTTCCACAATGGAATCTGATAAGTGATATTTCAACTAAAGATTTCCCATAAAAGGTTATGAGGATTACTTATCACTGAGCTGCTCAGTTGTTGGGGATTCTCTTCATCATCAGCAGCATTTTTCCCAATTTTATTTCCTCCATTAGCTCGGAGTGAGCAAAGCATCCAATTCTGATTTCCCCGTGTGTTTGCTGGAAATCAAGAAACTAAATTAGACTTGTGGTACAAAGGTTTGGGGAAGAAAATACAACATATAAATTTCACAAGATTCACTCACTTAACACTTGAAAGAAACTCCTCAGAACTCCAGCAAAGTTCATGCACGTTTCATAGTTTTCTGGATATTTAGAATTGTTTTGTACTCCTTCGTTGTGCAGACAAGCTTCGTATTTATATGATTCCTCTTTGAGCTCTTCAACAATCAAACCTGACAGAACAAAATTGAAAAGTTCTTGTTAAATCCGAGAACTGAAAATGATGAACAAAAAAGATGGAGTAATTTCTTCTTACAATACCGTTTGAGAAGTTTGGAGAATGTTTATGAACTTGGAGAATTTGAGAACTTAGGGAAGGAAGAGAAATGTGTTTGTGAAGTGTTTGAGACATGGAGACTTTTGGAAGAGAAGGGAAATGTGTTTGGGAAATTTGGAGAAGGGAGGAGAAGTGTTTGGAGAACTTTAGAGATGGGAGAAGTGTTTGAGAGATTTGGAGAAGAAAATTTAGTAGAATGATCTTATTACAACAATTGAGAACTACAAAGGGAAATTAAGAGAATTTGAGGGAGATAAGGGAAGGGAGCTCTAGAGAAGTGCTTGAGAGCTCCCCCCCTTGGGGTGTTATTACAAGCTTAGAGAACTTCCCTATTTATAGGCCTAGGGGAAGTGAAAATCTGAATTCAATGTGGCTAATGCATACAACACTTGTTTTATAAAATTTGAAATGGTTGATGCACTTGTATTAGAAAATTTGAATTGGTTGATGCACTTCACCAATAGATCCCACCAGCAGCCCTAGCTCATCTTCATGTCATCATGACCAAGCTTCCAACCAGAAATGATAGCTCATACCTAGCTCACCATGACCAAGCATCCAACCAGCACATGCTGAGGTCAGCATGACCAGCAACTTCAAGGGCTTACAACTTGGGCTTCTCTTAATCAAATTAGGACTTTAAGCACTCGAAATTGAAGTTCCGAATGTCTTCTTTCCAGCCATATGTTATTTGGGCCAATCCAAGGTTGGAGGAAGAAGATAAGGCCGAAACAAATTGCTAACTCATTTTCCGCGCTGATAAGATCCATCCTGAGCATGGTTCTGTGTTTGCTAGGTAACGGACTCCAGATTTATCCAATGGGGCTGAATTTTGGATATGTTATAGTACACACCAATTGGAGCAACTTTCATGAAGAATGTGGCCTCATCCGAGCTATGTAGGTTGCTGAAACAAAGCTTTCAATATAACCTACGGAACTGGACTGGCAGGGGGCTGTAGCCATAATGAATTTGTCTTTAAGCTCTTCATCAATTCATCCAAATTAGGCCTTAACATGCTTGAATTGCATGAATTATGTTCTCCAAAGCCATCATTGTTACCTAAAGCTCAATTAACTGAAATACAAACACAAAAAGGATTAAAAGCACAAGTTTAACTCAAAAACATAACCAAATCATAAGCTAGAAGGGTAAGAAATAATATACAATTATGAACCGATCAGAAAGCCTCATGAGCAAGAAGGATATTGTCTTGTATTTGTCGGTTTGGGACAAATGCATTTTGAGCAGGGGAAATAATCTCAGGTAGAAACTGTTTCAATCTGTTGGCCATAACCTTAGAGATAATTTTGTAGGAATAGTTACATAGGCTAATTGGGCGATAATGAGTAACAGACTCAGGATTTGGGACTTTGGGGATTAATACAATGTTGGTGCTGTTTAGGATAGTGGGATTACAGCTTTCAGCAAAGAAATCCTTCACAAAGCCTTGAACCTCCCTATGGATTATGTCCCAATAATGATGGTAGAAAATCCCTTGATATCCGTCCGGCCCCGGGGCCTTAAGAGATCCCATTTGCATTGCTGCATCTTTAATTTCTTGAGAGGAAATTTCCTGTAATAGAGCAGTGTTAGTGTCCTCTGTGACAACAGGATCCACACAAGATAGGATATCCAAATCATCCTCCACGCCATCAGTTGAGAATAGGCCTTTAAAGTGTTCCTCAATCACTCTTCTTGTAGCATTTTGCCCGGAGTACCACTGGCCATTATTCCCTTGGATTCGCAAAATTCGGTTCTGTCGCCGTCGAGCAATGGTGGAGTGATGAAAAAAAGCTGTATTCCTGTCACCTTCATTGAGCCATTTCACTCGAGATCGCTGGTGCCAATATGTCTCCTCCCTAGCCCAAGCGTCATTTAAATTGCTAGTGATCCTTTTGATCTCCTCATAATTCTCCTCCCACCTTCCTTGTTGATCTTGAAGCTCAGCTTGTAGAGCTGCCACCCGTTTCCTGTTATTTGTATATTTTTCACGGCTCCACTGGGTGAGCAACTCAGTACACTTTTGAAGCTTAGTTTGCCACTTGTCAATCCATTGTCCGTTGGCATTAGTACTCCAGCCATGATCAATAATTTGATGAGACTCGCGATCCTCCACCCAAAGGGCTTCAAATTTAAAAACTCGTTTCCCCCTGCTGAAATGATGATCTGTTTCCACAATGATAGGATTGTGGTCTGACCCAATTGCAGGATAATGGGTAACCGTTGTGTTTGGCCATTCCTCTTGCCACAAAATGTTAACTAGGCCTCTATCAAGCCTTTCTTGTATAAACTGATTATTTTGCCTTCGTGCACGCCATGTGAAGCATGACCCATTATATCCAAGATCCACCAATTCAACCTTCTCCATAAAATCACGTAGATATCTCGGACGATTTGGTGGGTGAAGTTGCCCCCCACTCTTTTCAAAAGACCACAAAATCTCATTGAAGTCTCCGCCGCAAAACCATGGAAGGTTCATTGGCTGAAGCTCTAGCTCCATTCTGTTCCAAAAGATCTCCTTATCTTCCCTGTATGGCGTCCCATAAACCCAGGTGGCTCTGCCTTGTGTGCCAGTAGTCATATCTGATATTTTTGTATCAATGAAATTTTGAGAATAGCTCAAAATCTCGAGGTTAATATTCGTATCCCACCATAGGCATAGCCCTCCTGCAGTACCGATGGGAGGAATACAAAAGCCATGCTGATAATTGCAACTTCTTCTTACTTTCTCCATTCTATTGTTTTTTGATTTGGTCTCCATCAAAAACACAACAGTGGGCCGGTATTTGCGGATCATCTCCCGCAAAGCACGAACTGTCAAGTCCGACCCAAGGCCTTGACAGTTCCACAAGATGTATATCATGGCTCCCCTGCGGCTGTTGTAGGCCAGCCGCCACCGCCTTGGGTCGAAGCACCCTCCTCATTGCTTGACACTCGTTTGCCTCCCTGTTCCCACTGCTCCGCTTGGATGATATTCACTTCCGTAAGGTTTTCTTCCTCAAAAGTCACTTGAGATCTTCTTGTTGTGCCTTTAGTGGTACTGGAATCGCCATGGTTGGTTTTCCTTGGCTTATACACCCTCCTTTTTGACTTCACATCTGCAGCACTCTCTTTTTGATTCTGTCCTCCTTCCTCCGTATCTCCTTTCCTATGGGTACTCTTCTGCTTTTTTCCAGGAGAGCCAACGTGGGGTCCCCTCCCATATTCATTGTGGCGCTTCAAACCTAGATTATGGAGCATGGTGCTGACTTGTGAGACAACCCTTGTAGGAGGTACAGTAATTGCTGGCCCAAAAGGATTTTTGAAATGTGGTTCCACCTGGATTGATTGCCCAAAGAGCCCAAGGTTCAACGTATCTTCTCCGTGATTGGGCCCGTGCTTGCACCAATATGTGACAGAGGGCTTTTCTTTGGTCATATGGGTATGGGCCCATTCAAGACTTTTTTCTGTTGAGTTTTGACTAAAACAGGTCCCAGAGGTATTGGCAGCCGTGTTTAGATCATTTGGAAACAAAATCACAGCATTCATTGGATTCTTTGCTCCTCCACAGATTTGTCTTGGACTTTGGTTGCCCTGTGTCAGATACAGAGGCTCCTTTTGTCTTGTGCCGAGGAGATCCTCGTACCTTTCTTCAAGATCAGTTTCCCCTGCGTGTGACAGCTCAACATCATGGCTGCTCCCATCAGTCCCCAGCTGTCCTGTGGCAGACGCCGTTTGATCTGATTGGGCATTGTGATTTTCGAGAGTCACCTCACCTTGCCCAATTTGGTCGTTGCTTTCACGCGCCGCTCCATCACCACCAGGCCTCCTCCTGACTGTAGCAGCCCTTCTTCTCTCCCAAGGTGTCTTAGTTGGTGGCTTTGGGTCGACGAATTCTCTGATTATCCTCGCTCTTGTCCATTCTCCATACTTCGCATCTATTTCTGGTGAAACTTCAAAGTTGCAGGCATCCATACAATGTCCAATTCTTCCACATCTGTAGCAAAAGTCCGCAAGTCTTTCATATTGGTACTCCACCCATGTTTCGGAGCCGTCGGGCCTTGGTAACCAGAAACCAGCAACAAGTGGTTGATTTGTGTCCACTTCGACTCGCACTCGCAGGAAACCCCTGAGTTTCGCTGGGTTCTCATACTCCATAACAGCCCCAGCCTTCTCTCCTAACTTGATCATATTTTCTTCATGGCTCAAGTTCAGTGGAATACCTCGAATCTGAACCCAGTGGGGCACCAGGTCCATGTCCACCTCTTCAATAGCTTTGGCTGGAGGCCACCTCTTGACTGCAAAACAACACTTCATCACCGACCAGGGGCCGTTTTCAAGGATTTTGTTTGCCATTCCTTCGTCTGTCACTGTTATGGCAAAAAGATTATCCCTGACCCATGCAATTTTGGTCTCCCCATAATTCTTCCATGCAGCTTTTAGGATGTTCTTGATAGCCCCTTTGTTGGGTAGTTTCTGGGCAATCACTGCACCCACCAATTTTGGCCCTTCTTCCAAGTTTGAGATCCCCAAGGATTCCTCAAGGTGTTCAACCAGTTCCTCCGTGGTGGGTCTCCCTCTTTCCAGCCTTCCAGGACCAGCTCTCCTCCATTCACTCATTTTTGGTTGGGGCAAATGTGTGTATTGGGTTTCTGCCTTGAAAGAAATTTTGTGTTTGGGATGCTTGTGGTGTGGTCTGGTTTGTTTCTGTTTGATATTGTGGAGGTGTTTATGATTTTTGAAAATCTGGTATATGAGGGCAAAAATGATAAGAGGGTACAGTTCCTTGTGGGGAGGACTGGTGAGAAGGTTGGGGATGTAAGCAGGTTTGTTTATAGTTCCATGGGATGAGTCTGCGGGTACGAGGTAGTTGCAAGCCATTAAAGCTGTTGTTAATGGCGCTGCAGATCAGAGGATGGGTGAGGAAGTATAACAGCTTTTAATGTTCCTGATTTGCTTCTCGAGGAGCAAGAAATTAAAGAGCAGCAGGTCTGAAGCGGCGATTTGTAATAGATTTGTATCCTGGAGGTAATGAAAGTGACGATTTGTTAGAGATTTGTATTAGGGATGCAATGAATGTGATGTTCAGAGGGAGGTGGGAGCATCAATTGAGTGGTTGGGGTTGGAAATTAATCACCAGCCAGCAAGCGGTGAAAGGAACTCTCACAAAGGAGAGAGAGGCTCTCACAAAGGAGGAGAGAGAACATTTTTGATGAGAAGAAGATTTGTGAAAGAATCTTCTAAAACAAGAAATTCATAGCAATCTGATTTGTAACATAAATACAAAATACATAAAAATTAAAAATAAAAATAAAAAGAGTTGATTTTTCCACTCCTCTTTTGTTCACTTGGATGCTGATTCTTGGATTACACTTAAAAATACAAAAGGGAAGTGGACAAAAACGGAGTGCAAAAATCAGTAGCCAAAAAAAGGGAAAGAGAGTGGAGCAATAGGATGCTGGTTCTTGGGTTGTTGTGCTTTAAATGTTAGGGAGCTCACATTTGTATCCAAAATCCATCTTTGGACACCCATGTTAAAATTTAAATAAATTTTTAGTTTTCTTTGGACACAGAATTTGACAAATTAAAATACAATATATAATGAATGTTTTCATTATTAATATAAAATTCCACACCTGCTAGGCTTTGTAGGTTCCTTAAAAATTGTTGTTGGTCATAGTGGATCGGTAGTCTATCTCTTTGATCGGGCCTGAATTTCACACACGTAAAAGTTATTCTATAATTGCAGGCCTAAAGAGGAAATAAATTTGTGTACTCTTTTTCCTTAAGATTTAAATATACAGAGTGGAATGTATACCTGTAGAAATTGGAGTGCTTTTGAATACCTTCACAACACGAGCAACCAACAACCCTATAAAGCTGTTAGACAAAAAACAGAAAAAGTAATTCTCATGAATTAACGTACCCTAATATAATATCTGTGCCTTATCTCCAAAAAAAAACAAAAAAACAATCTGGTGGAAAGGCAAAGGGCAAAGCCTCCTAATTAAAAACCCACCTTCAAATTATGCCAAATAACAACAGAGGCTAGGGAGTTGCTTGTACTAATTATAATTAGTAGGCTATGTATATATCGCTTCAATCAACTCTCCACACCAACACCTGTCTCAAGGAAAAAAGCAACTGACTTGAGTTGAATGCCAGAGGAAAAGAAAATGTGATAGAAAAGAGTTTTATTCTTTTTAGAGAAAGAAAAAAGAATGAACCTTTAGAAGCAGAGTCACTCACTTGACTTGAATCATTTTCTCAACAACAATTCACACCACTTTCAACTATTTCGCATTTCTCAGACTATATTGAATTTGGCAGCTACAACTGTACCCAGTCAACTAGAAATTTAAACATAAATATTAGAAATCATTATGTTGTAACGGGGAAAGAATTAGGTTATGAAACAGAAAAAGAAAGAAGAGACATACGACATAACAAATAATTAATTTAAGAGCCAAAAACAATAAAAGGAAAAATAAAAACATACCCATTATATTTGGAATATGAGAAATTTTGGGCCATTCTGAGCCGCTCTCCTTGTTGCATCTCTCTTTTAGAAGGGGACAATCATAAATTTCTATTAAATTTAATTTGGTGAGACATTGCATAGCTTCGAGTGTAGGTAGATACATCATATTCTTGCAACAATATATATACAGGTACTTAAGAGATGTAAACTTTCTCAACGAATCTGGAAGAGCCTCCATTCCGTCAAAGGATTCCACTTTGAAAGATATTAGAGAAGTGAAGTGTTGAATTTGTTCAGGCAGAGACTTGAGCTTAGGCCAACCCCATAACTTTAATCTTTCAAGTTGTGATGTAACCTGAAAAGCAGGGAATGAATCGAGCTCCTTCCAAAAGCCACCAATTTCCAATGTCTTCAAGTGGGTGAGGCAGGATGTTATTGCTAACCCACTGGGTAGACTTTTCAATCCATCGCAACAATATATCTCCAATTTATGGAGGTTTGTGAGGTTGTCTAAACTTGAAATAGATTCTACATTCGGCAACTTGCTTATTGTCAACACCTCAAGAGAAGAACATGATTCTAGCCCTGTTGGCAGACTTGTCAATCCATGGGAATCTTTGATTCTCAATTCACGAAGGCATGTGAAGCCGAGTAAACTTGGAACAGACTCTGGACTCCTGCTGCACCCAAATATAGACAAAATGCGAAGAGATGGGCAGCTGTGAATCAAAGCGGATGTTAGCATATCACAATTTGATATTGCCAACTCCTGAAGAGAGGTATAATAATCTAACCCACGCGGTAGACTTGACAACTCCGGACAGCCTTTTATTTCTAATTTACAGAGGAATGGGAGGGCTTGTGTAATTGGAATCAACTGTAGACTATTGCAATCTTTTACAATCAAGTTCTTAAGAGATGTCGTGAGTAGCTCATCAGGCAAATAAGCAAGAATAGGACACTTGGAAATACGCACTGACTCAAGAAATGTGCAAGAGCCAACTACATCAGGAGGAGCAATACAAGTTAGCTCATGACAATCTTCTATCGTCAAGTATGCAAGATTCTTGTTGTTTTTTAGCATCCCTTCTGGTAGTGAAACAAGTCCCCTCATGCTCTTTATTGTGAGCGAAGTAAGAGTGGTCAGCTTATTGCTTATGTTTGCTATTGGCATGCCGCTACCCATGGAATCTATCTCCAACTTCTTGAGAGATGGAAAATGGCTGGGAGCACTTCTCAATTTATCACAATTCCTCAAAACCAGCTCCTCAAGGCAAGGAAACACCACTATGTCCGCTTCTGGCCATTCAGTTAGGTTCCTGGCTTTAGAAATAGTTAAATATTTCAATGCAGGAAACGAACTACTCATGATCCATGATGGACATTTATCGCCCATGAAGTTG